GGAAGATTAGAAAAATGAAGACTCACATATGCAGATTTTGAAGATAACAGCTAGGATTGGGTGGAATGCTGCTCTCTGATGGAGAAGAAGTTCTAAAAAATTATGCTAGCTATCTTTATTATATATGTCTTATAAATCAGATTAAAGACTATGCAAGCATTATTCTTTGTATTCATGAAAGCTACAGAGTTAGCAATATAATGTAGTTTATCTCTCAGTTACATACTACAGTTGCAATGTGCAATGTTAGGAGCTTTGTGTAGCTCTCCAGAAAGTCTGTTGTTTAAAGTTACTGTTATGGGAGCAAGATAAGGAGCAGCAGAGCTGGTGAAACATTGTGATTTTCTAACAGAAGAGTTCCTTTATTCCTGGGAGCTGTTTGCCTGAGAGATTAAGGTTGAGGCTGATAAGACTCTAGCACAGAGCCTTCTCATGGAGGGCATTACCATAGCAATTAGGCATCCTGTACCTTTTCACAGAAACTTTCCCAGGCACCAAGCATGGCACAGCCATGAAGTCATCAGGGACCTCAATTTCAGACACTGCTCTCCCATTCACTGTCACCATTCTCCATACACCACAACTTGCACAGCACTAGAGTAGGACTAAGACCTATACTGCTATTGGCTACCTACTGCTGAAGAGCACTCATACCCAACCTGCTGCAACAGGTGCTGGCCAGGATAGAAATTGGATAGACCTCTGCATCTCCCCCAAGGGTTGGAACTATTTCAGAGATCCACACATAGACAGGCCTGGGGTTGGGAACATTAGGGTCTGCCCAGCATCTGGCATCACTATACTGGTACTAAGTTCCAAGGCAAAGTCCTGTTCTTACTGCCCTGCTCTACTCCCATCAAAAGGTGTCTTCTTCTAGACCAAGCTGTCTGAGTTTGGGATAGCATTAGTGAGGCATTCCTTGACCATCAAGGTCATCACTAGGTCATCAAAGTTGATATCTGGGTAAGCAACTTTGGACCTGCATAATCTCAGGGGTGCACCAAGTTCCATGCTGCAGCTGGCAGTGAATGCAATTAGAAAAATAGGTCTGTTCTATTGAAGTCTCTGCCTGATGTCAGGACAGGACTATGGTATCCATCTGTGAGCACTGGCATGGGGATAAGTGAGCTGCCTGAGAAGGATGGTGATAGATGTAGTTCCTTGGCTGCTAAGGCTGATGATAAGCTGGATTACCCCTGAATCTCACAGTCACAGGGATATGTGTGCATATGCCCATGGGTGTGCTTGCAGGCAAGCTCTCAAGTGTTTGTGTTCCAAGCCCATTTTAAGGCTGGCAATGATGCAGGGCAAAACTTGAGACTATACCAATGGTGTGAAGGTCTCTTCTTAATATCAAGTCAGGTCTAGAGGCTCTATCTATGAGCTTTGGCTTAAATATAGCAGCCTTTGTTTTCTACCTGGTTCTAAGCCTCACCATAGTGGACCTAGCACTGAACTCCAAGAAAAGGTCTGGTTAGATTTCATGTTCTGGTCCCCAGTGGGTGGTCTTGCTCCCCACTCTGCTGTGTGAAGTTTTGGGAGGGATGTTAGCATTCTTTGCCATCTGGCTAACACAGTTCCAATGGCTCAGTCCACAGGTACACCCCTTGAGGTAGGATGCCCAGCAATGGATTCAATGTGATGGGCCTGGTACTGGGTTTCAAGTCTGAATTCTGGATTTAAATCCCTCTCTTTCACCCAAGTGGGAGGCATGACCTTTACACTTTTCTGGTTGGAGTTGAGGTAGAGGTAACGTGAGAAATTCCTTCTTTCCTGCTTTCTTCAATGAACCTCTTCCTTTTTAAAACACTAACAGCTACCACAGTTTCTAATCTAGTTTTATTAGCTTTTGTGACGGTAGTTTGGTGTATGAATAGCTATTCAAATATGATGTGTTTGTGGAGAGATAATAGCTTAAAGGTCTTATTCCTGCTATCTTGTCCCATCTCTTCCTTCATTATCCTTAATTTTCATGCATTGATTGGAGTTTGGGTAATTGAAGAAGTCTGTACCTATTTCAGTCTTCTCAGACTGATTTTGTGTGCAAAAATTCATCAACACTCATTTTCCATTCAGATATTCTAGGAAAGCTTCCTGGTGTGGTCCATGGGTGGGGTTGCTACTTGAGTCTTGGGACTCACTGGCCTGGTCCCTGAGTCAGGGACTTAAAGCATGGATCCACTTGTGTGAACCTGCTGGATAGGTATGGTAGGATTGGTCTGGAGCCCACATCCCAGTGATTGGCCTAAAGCTTGTGACTTCTGGGGCCCAACTTTTGCTGAGAGCTTTCAGGACAGATCAGTCTGGCTGTAGAGAATATCAGAGATCAGATTCACCATGTAGGTCTAAAGCTTGTTGCTATGAACTTTGGGTGAATACCATCTTAGAGTCTGGGGCCCAGGGTTCTGCCTTGTCCTGAGTGTTACTGTGGCAGGCCCAGTATTGGAGTTCAAGGCAGAGTCCTGTGCTTACTTCCTTCTCTTTCCCCAAAGTAGAAAGCATCTTTCTCCGCATTGTGCTGCCTTTAGTTTGGGAGAGGTGATGAAGGTAATTTAAAACTGTCCTACTAACTTCAGTGAATCTTATATCTGTGATACACCAAGGTATTCTGATTTCTGAATTTCTTTCTTTAGAACTTGTAAAGTTATTTTTTTCTATATAGATCATTGTTCAAACTGATGTTTCTGTAAGGGGATAATCACTAGAGAGTTTTACTGTGCCATCTTGCTTTGCCCACTTCTCTCATGTTTTATATTTATAGTCATATACTTAAAGCACCTTTAAAGTTTTAAAATATATTTTATTTAACATTTATTTTGTATCTGTACTTACACCTTTATGTATATATTATTTCAATTTAAATAATTTTGTATTTTAATGTTTCATTTCTTTTAGTTTATATTGTTCCTGTATTTGTGTTCCTGTGTTTATGTAGAAATGTTCAGAGGTGAGAGCTGTAATCTAATGAGTCCATTCTGTATGAATGGACTAAATGGTAACTGTAGGCAAGTGGGGTATGACTGGAAAAGGTAGGTGCCTGGGGCCATACTCTGGAGGGGTTTATCTTCCCTGGGGCTCCTTCTGCCTTGATGTTCAGCTTCACCATGTTCCCAGAGTAATGAACCTGGCTAACTATGGACTACACTTCTAGAACCATGAGCTAAAATAAATTTTTACTCTTCTAAGTTGTTCTTGTTATGTATTTTGGTCACAGCAACAAAAAGGTAACTAACATAGATATTGGTAGCTAGAGTGTTGGGAGAAACCTCATATCTAAACTATTATCATTTACTTATATTTTATTACCTATTTCCCCCTATAAACATGTTAAACTCTTTGTGAAAGGAAATAAAAAGGTTATATGATTTATCTTTCAGCCATCTCTAATATTTTATGTGTAAGAAATTAGAAACACATATTTTTCCTTGCCTGAACATTTGACTAGATGATGTTGAGTCAGGCTACTTATGATGTGAACCTATGTTATCATAATTCCTCATTAGCCATCCATTCTTCTCGGATTACTTCTGCATACTTGGAGGATTACCATGCAAAATGTAATAGACAAATTCCCTTGTCTATGAGGTTTTGGTCAATTTTTGCTGATAAAATAGACAAGAGAGAGGTAGGGTGACATTCTTTCTTGTTCCCTGCTATGTGCTGCATTTTCTGGCAGTAGTTATATCCTTGCACATCCACAGGTTATTTGGGGTGGTTTTTTCTCATCTGTTTCTACTCTCACTTAGGTTCTGGTATCACTATTTGTTCTCTTTGCCTCACCATATCTACTTACCTACCAGCTTCATTATGGCTAGATTTTAAAGGCTTCAATATTAATACCTTTTTGGATTTATTTAATTCTGCTTACTCACTTTAAGTTGACCCTTCATATATATGTTTGTGTGACACACACACATACACACACACACACACACACACATCTATATCTATATACAAAAGGATCTGTTTCTTTCTGGGTACCTGGCTCATCAGCTGTTGGTAGGTAGTAAAATATAAATTAGTATGGTAATCATGACAGTAGTAAATGCATGTTATTGCTCAAATTGTTTTTATTTGGTATACTAGTTGATTCAAGGTTGATTTCATCAAAATCATTGACATTCACTTCTAAGAAATCAGAGAAGTTTGAAAAATGTCATTTCTCCCATTTTGGACTCAAAATAGAAAGAAGGTATTCCAAAAACTTTTTAAAATTGAATGTATTTGGATTGGAGGTTGTGATGGGGGGAGGACTGGTTGTAATTGGGGTAGTATCCTCAGTAGATGCTGTGGTGGTAGTTGCTGCTAATGTGGAGGTGGGCTCTGTTGTTGGGTAAGTAGGTAGTGTTGAGGAGGCAGTGGTTTCTTTTGTAGTGGGTTCTGTGTAAAGGATGGTGGTTGTTGTTGTGGTGGGTTCTGTGGAAAGGATGGTGGTTGCTGTTGTTGTTGTGGTGGGTTCTTCTGTTGTTGTGGTGGGGTCTGTGTAAAGGATGGTGGTTGCTGTTGTGGTGGGTTCTTCTGTTGTTGTGGTGGGTTCTTCTGTTGTTGTGGGTTCTTCTGTTGTTGTTGTGGGTTCTTCTGTTGTGGTGGGTTCTT